TTCAGTAAGATCAAGTTAGTAAATATGATCATTTTATCATTCTCTGTTTTTGTGTTCAGATCCACAAGTTTTCATTCGTAGTCAAGGTGTTTCCTGGTAGCCCAAAACACCCACGTAGGCTCTTAGACTTAGAATATTATAAGCCTTTAAGTTATTTGTATTTCTGAAATTTGTTTGCTGGTTTCTCCATTTGTTTGTTTGTTTGTTTGTTTTGAGACAGGGTGTCCCTGTAGCACCAGCTGGCCTGGAACTACGTAGGCCAGGCTAACCTTGATCACACAGAGACTGGCCTGCCTCTGCTTCCCCAGTGCTGGGTTAAAGGTGTGCACCACCATGCCCAGCTGGAATTTGTTTTTATATGTTTCATAAAGTTGTTTCAAATTTGCTGAAATGAATCTCAGGGGCAGCGTGCTTATCTGGCATACACAAGGCCCTGAATTCAAGCCCAGAACCACAATAAAAAACATTGCTTCAAATATTAGATAGTTTTGCTATGTCACTTATTAAATTATCATTTTTTATTTAATTGAAAACAAAAACAATTGTCATTCATTAAAGTCTCATATGCATTAAGACCTAGTTTCAAATTCCCTGGTCTGTTTCATTTATGTATTTGTCTGTTAATATTGTCAAGTTGATTTAATTAATTCCAAAGCTTCTAAATTTTGTTCTGATATTTAATGAAGCAAATACCCTCTTAATAAGTTTCTTTTGTACAATTTATTCACTATTCTTGAGTATTTTTATTACGCTCTATAAACTTTAAGGTACTTTTGGAATTTTACTAAATTTTTGGAATTTTACTAAAGTTATAGGCTAACTTTGAGGAAACTAATGCTTTTATTATGCCATTTTCCAACCCAAGGACATAGTATGTCTCAGAATTTGTTCAGGCCTCCTTTTATGATCTACAATAAGATTTATTATTTGGCAAAAAGAATAGTATAAAAATCAATAAAAAGTATATTTGAAAAAATCACGTTTTTCAAGGAAGATGAAAAATAAATGATTTATAAAATATAAAAGACTTAAAATTAATGCAAAGGATTAAAAAAACAAAAAGAACACTGGGAAAAAGGCATGCAGAAGTATAAATTCAAGTATCTGCAAACACATGGAGAGATGTTCAAATGCACACAGATATTTTCAAATCTTTTACTATTGTTAGATGCTGGGGATTGAATCCAGGGTCTCTCACATGCCAGGCAAACATTCTACCAGTTCCATTTTCAAATCTTTGTAACAGTATTTCTCAACTTTTTATGTTTCTCATTTTTCTTGGTAGTGGCATTCTGTGCTGGATAATTCATTGTGGAGATTGCCTTTATGATTGCAGAATATTTAGCAGACTGCCTGGAGAGGTTAGTAGCACCCCCTCCCCATTTAAGACAATCAAAACTATCTCTAGACACTGAGAAACATCCCCTGTTGGCAAAATCATTACAATCTGAGAAACACAGATTTCCACTTCTCAGACAAGCTAAAAATGTAAAAGCAGCAAATCAAGTCCTTCTGGTCGGTCAACTATTTCTGACTTCCTTTTTTTCTTCCTCCTGGCAAGAGAAAATTCTGCTTTTAAAAGGCTCAGGTGATCACCTATAATGATGAATGCAGTAAAAACAAACACTTTTACATGTTGCTAATGCAAATGTAAGTTACAGCTTTACAGATGAGAAGCACCTATCAAAATTAAAAATATATATTCTTCAACTGAGGAATTCTGTTCCTGGGAACAAATGCCATTAAAATGAAATTAAACATGTATAAACATTCATTGTTCAATGACCTAACTATTGCACCATTAGCAGTGACCCCAAACTAGAAATAGCATAAATGACTACATATAGGGAATGACTGAATAAATTATAGTATACCCATACAATGGATTGGTATGAGAATTACGAGTATACCTTACTCCTCAGTGAGAAAAACAAGAACCAGAAAGATGTGAAACATAATCCTACTTCTTTAGAAACATATACAAGTAGAGAAAGATTCCTTAATATTCTATTTACCCCTACTTCATGGGAGAACATAGTATCTAGAATATACAAAGAACTCTTATAACTCAATGACAAAAAGACAACCCAATTAAATAAGGGGAAAATAACTTAAATGGACATTTTCCCAGTGAAGATACAAATGGAAAATAAACACATGAAAAGATGCTCAATATTATCAGTCATTATGAAAATATAAACCCAAACCATGAGCTACCCTGTCATACTTAGTAGGGTGGTGACTTTTGAGAAAGGAAAGCACATTAGTATTTGCCAGGAGCTGAGAGTAAGGGATGGGTAGGGACTAACAGTAAGCATGGGTCTCCTTTCTAGAGTTGTATGTTTTAGAACCAGAAAGAAGTGATGGTCCCACAATATTAGGAAGGTATTAAAGTCACTGAGTTGAATGCTTCAGTACAGCGAGGTTATGTGACTACTGCCTCAATTAAAAAGCATATGCTTTCTGTTCGCACCATCATAAACATGCCTGACTTCATCACATCTCAGAAGTTAAGTAGGGTTAGGCCTGGTTAATACTGGAATGAGATTATTTCTAGTATTTACTACTGCGTTGGTTTCCTATTGTTGAAGATTCGCACAAATTTAACATCTGAAAACAATTACATCAGCCAAAATTCAGATGTTAACCAGACTCTTCTCTCCAGGCTCTGTGGAAAAATCCATTTCAAACTCTTTGAAGTGCTGTTACTGTTGTTTTGTTTTTAAGAAAGGGTCTCACTACGGATCACAGTCTATCTTGGAACTCTCGTAGCTCATACTGGCCTTAAACTAGTGAAATGCTTCCCAAATGCTGGGATTACAGACCTTGATCTTTCAGGGTTTTAGCTGAATTCAGTGGCCGGAGATTGTAGAACTGAGGTCTCTGCTTCCTTGCTGGCTGTCAGCCAGGAGCCAGACTCAGTTTATGGGCTTCCCACATGCCTTGGTACAGAGGCAGCAGAAGGTTAAACCCTTTTCATCCTTCAAATAAATCGGACTTCCTTTTCTGCTACCAGCGGGAGAAAATTCTGTTATAACAGGCATCTGTGATTGGATTAGGCTAGCAACATAATTTCACTTTTCCCATAAAATGTTACACAATCACAGGAGTATTATCCAATTCAAAGGTTTCATGCCACACTCAAATGGGTAGAACTTTTATGAAGGCAAGGGTCATTCTTAAAATTCTGTCAATCATAAACGCTTACAAAAAAATTAGTAAGACACTTTCTGCCCAATTCAAGAAAAAAAAAATGCTTGTTTATACTCAGCTTCATTGCAAAGAGGATTTGAAGTGCCTAAGTGATTTATAGAAAGGAAGGGTTAAGGACCTGTGATTTATACATAAACAGTGCTAGGTTTCCATTCCTTAGGCAGAGGCTAGAAAACTTTAGAAAGTGGGCATCTCATTTTGAGGCTTCCCCTGGCTTGTTGGTTTTTCTTTCTTCTCTTCTGCTGAAACACTGTGTGTAAATGCAAAGCAATTGCCAAGAGGACCACCCTGTGGTCTCTCTAGTTGTGATGGGAAGCAGGTATCATGAGGGGAATTTAGGGGAGTAGGTATGTATGTCATAGATCCTAAGTTCTCAGATTTTTTGTTTTTGTTTAGAACTACTGATATTACCATTTTAAATTGAATTTAGGAATTTTAAAAAATAATACACAAGCATACATTCCCTAAGCCTACAGAATGATTGTGTCCTTATACATTATGTAGCCTGTGGGGTATAAAAGAAGAGAAATCCTTAGTCTGATTATGAAAACAGTTTTTGACTTTGTAAAACTTCTGAGAAGGCTGCAGGACCTCCAAGGCTTTCTGGAACATTCTTTGGAAAGACTCAGTGAAAGACATCCATTCCACACATTGGATTTCTTCAGATTCATTAACTCACATTTTGCTGCATTCACTCAAGTAAGTCTTAGAGGCATTTTGTCTTTACTAATATTTTCTTCCATCTGGCAGACTCGTTTTTTGTTGCTTGTGCTTGCAGAAAGTGTGATATGCTACAACAGGATAAAATTGAGCTAGGTGGATCGTAACACAAAAAAGCAAAACAATTCAAAAATGTTTCTGTGGGCTTCTGACAGCATCTGTTACTGTACAAAAACTATACATTGAAAATTACTGAGGCAGGTGCAGCTTTATCTGCAGTGGGACTAAGATGGAGTCAGACTGTGAAAGCATCAGGAGATGAAACCAGGCCTAGGGAGTCTTGTCTTGTTCTGCCCTTGAAAACTATGCCAAGCAGTCTTCTGTTGACATTGTATCTAGTGAAGAAATCGGCTATTCGTGATTAATGAATGATTCAGGGATTTCCACTTTGCTTTTCAGCGGATGATATACTGTAGTTTGCTTTATATCCTGAGAAAAAAAAAGTGACGAAATAAAGCAAAAACCTTTTAATTGCGACTTAACCATGGCCTTCTGTTTACTTAGTACATTCTTTTTCACTCTGTAGTAAAGCCTCAAGCGCTCAGGCTGGGATAGTCGAAGGCACAGGAATACAGTTCACGAACACGGAAGCGGCTGGAGGGAAGGATTGGCAAGGTCTCTTCTGAAGGTTAAAAGTTTGCCGTGCCGGGTCACTGCGTCTCCCCGGGAGAAGGACCTGAGTGTACATCAGGCCACCGAGATGCAGAACCCGTGACTGCGATGCGCGCATCCGGGGATTCAGCTGCAGAGAACACTCCCGCCTCGTCAGAGGAAAGCGGAGGTGGCGGAGCTGGCCGCAAGGCTGAACCCGGGACCGCCAGGACTCGCCGCGCCCGCCGCCGCCCGGCCAGAACTCCCCGCTGGAGCTCCCCACTGCGTCCCCAGCCACGCCAGTCAGAGGCCTGGCATGCCGCCCTTGCGGCCCTTCGCGGTAATGAACCGCTGACCAGTGGCGGAGAAGCCAGGCTCCAGGAGCGCGTTGTGATTGGCTGACGGCCCGGAGGCGGTGGCGCGGGGGCGGGCTCGGGGGCGTGGCCTGTTCGGGCAGCGCGGCGGGCTGGGCTGGGCTGGGTAAAGGGCCCGGCGCCTGGCAGAGGCGGCCCAGCTCCTGCGGCGGGCAGTGGAGGTGGTTCGGTCTGGCGCGAGGGGGCGTCGCGCGCGGCGACAGGTGCCCGCGCTGCGGCCGTGACCGATCGGCGCTCCGGTTGGCCGAGCGGAAGGAAGGGGCCGGGCCGCGTCCCCGCCCCCCGCGGCCGGATGGATGTGCCGGGCCCGGTGTCCCGGTGGGCGGCGGCGGCCGCGGCCACCATGCTCCTGCGCAGTGCGCGCGTCCCTCGGGAGTGCTGGTTCCTGCCCACAGCGCTGCTCTGCGCCTACGGCTTCTTCGCCAACCTGCGGCCGTCGGAGCCCTTTCTAACGCCCTACCTGCTGGGCTGGGACAAGAATCTGACCGAGAGGGAGGTAGGCGCGCGGGGTGGGCAGGCGGGGGTCGGGGGCACGTGGGCCGGGTTCCGGGGCCCGCCAGATTGCTGGTTTTTCCCTTTTCTCCCCAGTCACTTGGAATACGGCTTCGTGCCCCGCGCTGCCTTCTTCCTAGTTTTTTCCTGTCCTTTGGGTTTCTAGTACAAGTCTTCTGTGTGGGGCTGAGCACGAGGGTCCGCAGCCCGCAAGTGCATGTATGTTTCAGGCCATACGTGAATGGAGCTGGGTAGTGACATACGACTCTGCCCGGACACGTCCATCGGGAACTGCTGGGGACTAGGACAGTGTTTGGATAAAGCTGTGCCTTGGACAAGGTAGAGGTTTAGTATATGTATTCGTTCGTTCAGAATAGGTACTCCTTTTGTGGAAGTGCCAGCCCCTCTGTTGCTGCACCCCCTTTCCTTCCTGCCCTCAACTTTGCCTTTGACAGGATGGATAGGCTGTCAGATAAGGACAGTGCAGGACAAGAACACATCATCTTCATTTGGTTTGAGTTTTTTAATTAGGTGAGGTTGGTTGTGTCCAAAGATAAACTTGCCATCCTCTTAAGCCTCATCTCTTGGGATAAAAGCAGATGGTATCACATAATTAGCATTTTGTTTTTCTTGTGTTGGGAATTGTTGCTTCACAGATAGTTTTGTTCCTCGCCTACACGTGAGATTTTTGTTGGCTCTGCTGCTCAGGGTAACTGAGAATAAGTGGTTCATGACCCAGAAGTTCTTGCCACTGATTTAAGATAAGGACTTGTAAGCATAGTATTGCATAGTGTACTTTAGAAATGTGCCTCTTATTGAAACACATTATCTCAACACTTGGTTTTTGCAGAAGACCTTATATAAACGGAGAAAGAAAAGGACCCCAAATGGCTATTAAGATGATATGGTATCTTTTCTTTAAATACCACAAAGGGTGAAAGCTGAGCTCTGGTGTTCTTTTTTGCTACCATCAGCTGAGTGAGCACTGGATGACTGCTTTCTCAGGCCTCTCATTCTTACCACTCTGCCTCAAGCCCGCTTGCTCTAAAATACACCTCCCACTTAAACCTTACTCTTCCTGACATTGCCAGTCACCTCTTTTGAGTAGCAATGCAATAACTTAGCATAACAGGTCAGAGCAAGAGGTGGCACTCCCATACTCATTTCAGATTGGCAGGATATAATTACTCAGAGTCCAGTTTGTTGTTGCAGTGTGCCTTCATTTTCAAGGTCACTTGAGAAAGAATTGAGTTGGTGTTGATTCCCTGATTCTTTGAGTGACATTTCATTTTTTAGCAAGTATAGCAGACTTTTACCTAACCTTAGATCGTGTATCTTGGATCACTTCACAGTTATTATCTATATGTATTTTGGTACTGTTTGAAACCAACAGTAAAAAGAAAAGACCAACACTTATGGCCAGAATAATTTTCCTAGAAGAAAATTACTGCACTGATACAAACAGGTGTGATTTTAGAGACCAGGGCCAACCACTGAACCTGGGCTGGAGCCACCGGGGCAGAAACCATACTGCCTGTGAGCAGCTGGCTATTAAAATTTCATAGGAACTCCCGGGGAGCTGCACAGTTTGTGCACCTTACCTGACAGGGAAGCACATGAGGGAAACGTGCTCAGTGTTGATATTTGAAAGCTGATCTGTTTTGTCACATGCCCTGGATCAAGGGCTGCTGTGTGCTATCACAAATCACGAGCTCTATCTTACCAGAAGGAAGGCCTTAAATACATTTTCAGGCCACAGTAACGCAGGGATGGTAGGAGCAACCAGTGTTGGTTAGTTGTGTAACAACATAAGGATGCTTCTCTCAGTGCAAACTGAGGGAGGAGGCAAGGATATTCGAAGAGAAATGCAGTGGTCTGGGGGAGTGTCATTTCTGAGGATCGTGGAGTCCTGGCTGATTCGTTGGTTGTGGTTGGTAGAGAAATCTACATTTTGAAAAAATACAAAAACTGAAAGTCTAGTAACTGAAATAAAGAGAACTTGCTCTTCTTCGTGATCACTTGTTTTCAGCACTGAACAATTAAATATTGCATGATTTTTAAGCAAAGCCATAGCCAGTGACATTTGTGTTGAAGGCATTTCCCCTTGAAGACTAGAAGTGCCACATTGGATATGGTAAATAGTGCTAAGATTACCTAAGTCCCAAAGGCAGATTTCCCTCTTTCTCTAGTCTAAGAAATTAGAAATTTTGGGAGGGGGCGTGAAGGGAGGGTTCATTTTAGGAAAAGTATTGACCCCCTCGAAATAAAAATCCTTAGGAAAAGTATTGGCTTTTATAAAGTGGAGCAGATTAAAATTGGACTATATTCCAGTTGTTGAAAACCAAACATTTAATAAGAGATTTTTATTTATTTATGGTGCCTGACAGGGACCAAATCCTTAGGAAAAGTATCCTTAGGAAAAGTATTGGCTTTTATAAAGTGGAGCAGATTAAAATTGGACTATATTCCAGTTGTTGAAAACCAAACATTTAATAAGAGATTTTTATTTATTTATGGTGCCTGACAGGGACCAAATCCTTAGGAAAAGTATCCTTAGGAAAAGTATTGGCTTTTATAAAGTGGAGCAGATTAAAATTGGACTATATTCCAGTTGTTGAAAACCAAACATTTAATAAGAGATTTTTATTTATTTATGGTGCCAGGGACCGAACCCAGGGTATAGTGTCACTGAGTTGCCCAAGCTAGCCTCAAACTTATAATCCTGCTGCCTCAGCCTACCAAATAGTTGGGATTACAGACCTTTGCCACCACACCCAGCAGACCTTTTTATTTCTAAAAAGTAATTTTACCTTTTCTTCTTGGTAGCATGTAGGTTGACACACATATACTGCTTTCCTTTGGGGTTTGAAACCATTCCAACGTTCTACTTGATTTTCTGAGGCTTTCAAACTCCTTTTTGTCCTTTCCTATCTTCTACATACCCAGGTTTCATCCATAGTACTGTGATAGTATTAAATTCAGCATACCCATGAACTCTCATCTGTTGGCCTATATTTGAGTACATGATCTCTGCTTGGAATAATCTGTCCGTTTATACCTATTTGTTCTTTTTGTGTCTTAATTTTCGAGATCCACCTCAAAGAAGCAACTCCATGTTCCCTATTTCTGTTTTTTCAGTACTATGAATATGTATGTTCCTTATTTTGTTTCAGAACTCCTGAAGCACTCGAACTTCAGTTTTATTCTTGTCGCCTTTATTCAGATTGAGTGGTGTTGTGAAAGTAGGTGTTCCTGAAGTAGACTAGTAACTGTTAACACTCCATTCTAAAATAAAGTCTGAATGTGAATTGGTTTAAACTGACCAATTTCTTTTCCTGTGACTTGTATGTTAGAATAAAGTACAAACTAGTTCTGGCCCAGGGTTGTGAAAGACACCAAATAGAATAAAATCAGTCCCCTTAATGATCTAGCAGAGCTTCCCTGAGATGAGACATGAGATAGTAAGGGAATGCAGTTTGTCATTAGTGCACGTGGGAAGTTGCCTTCAAGAGCCAAAGTGTCTATAAAAGCAGTGGGTTTTGGTGTTATGACTTCTCCATTGGAGCTTTGAAAGGCAAGAATCTCCTTTGGAGCCCCAGTGGCTAGCTCAGGAGACTATGTGATCTTCATCTCTTGAGGAATCTCTGTCACGTCATCTCCATAAAGACTAGAAAAGCTACTGCAAGCATTAGAGACAACTTTGGAACATTCTGGATCAATAACAGTTTTCTAATTGAAGAAATCAGATGTTTTAGTGTCTTAGATTTGGAGTATCTGGTTCAGATCTTCCCTCTGCCAATCCTGGCTGTGACAATCATTCTCTAATACCAAGTGTCCTTTTATCAAATAGCATTTACTTCTTAGGACTGTTTGGATTAATGGGGGTAATTCTGGTAATTCAGTGCATAGGGTAGCACGTGGGATAGCTGTAGAGATTTGCTGTTATGGTGCTAATATTGTTAAGAGTAAATTAGTGCAGTGTGAATTCTACCTTGGATGGATGTTCCTTATCAGAGAACATGTCGATCTCTTAATTAGGGATAAAGAGAACCCGTTTGATCTCTCTGCTCTACTCTGCCCCAAAGCTCCGCTTTTTTAGTTGGCATCACAAATTTGGTAGTGTTACTTTCCCTCATCTTCAATATCTAAATTGTGATTTTGTGTTAGGATTAGAATTAGACTCATTAGTGTTAGATATGTATTTATTTTGAAACAGGATCTCACTGTGTTAGTCAGACTGGCTTTGAAATAGTGGTCTTCTTGCCTCAGTCTCCAAAGTAGCTGGGATTATAGGCATGCACTACCACACTCTTTAAACTGATAAGGAATGGATTTTATAGAATAAAACTTTGGCAGTTAATTATTTGAGGATAACTGTTGTTGAAAGTTTAGTATTAGAGCGAACAGTCAACCAGAGTTCAGGTGCTGAAGGGAACAATAGAGAACATTTTAAAACTTTATGCATTTATTGGTTACTATGGTATTTCCACACATGCATACAGTGATCAAATCAGAACAGCTAGCATTCTACTCTCTGTCACTCCCTCATGTTTGGAGCCCTCAAGCTCTTCCCTTCCAGTTATTCATAAACTATAATGGGTTGTTGTCCATATGGTCATCCCACTAAGCTGTGGAATGACTGCCTTAACTGTGCTTTGGTACGTTTTACCTACACTTACTTCATCTGCCCTCCGACCACAGCTCTGTTTTTATATTGACTTGTTGTGGCTTCCACCTGTGACAATGAACGTGTAGCATCTGTCTTTCTGTGCCTGGGTCATTTAACCTAACATCCGTCTTCTAGCTCCATCCATGTTGCTGTGTCAGGGTTGCATTCATCTTTATGGTCTAATAATTTTTCATTGTGTACAGAGACCATATTTTCAGTAGAGAACATTTTTAAAGGGAAGATTTGTTGGCCGATAGCTTTGTGGTATTGTGTTGAGAAAAACTTGTTAGGGAACTGTATTAGTCACTTTTCTGTTGCTGTGATAGAAACACTGACCCAAGCAATTTATAGAAGGAAGAGTTTATTTGAGCTTATGGTCCAGGGGAATTACAGTCCATCATGGCAGGGAGGCATCGTGGCTGGAGGTGGCTGGGGCAGGAGTAGCAGAAGCAGAAGGTAAGCTCTCACATCATCACGCAGGCACAGGAAGTAGGAGAGCAACTGGAGATCTGGCAAGGCTTAAGAACACTCTAAGCCCAACCCCAGTGACGTGCTTCCTCCAGGATAGCCACACCTTCTAAAAACCTCCCAAAGCAGCGTCATCATCTGGGGACAAAACTTGGAGCCTATGGGGGTACATTTTCATTCAAACCACCACAGGAACCTATGAAGGTGCAGAAATATGCTGAGTCAAACAGGAGATGGTTTTGAACTTTACAAAACTAAAGGAGAGTGGTGTCTCTGAAGTACAAGCAGAAAGGGAGAGAGGAGTTATTACTTGGAACTCAGCTATGAGGATCTCTGTAGGAAGGGCGTCTTGCTGCACAGCCAGCATCTCAAGGTCACCCCTTGCTGGCTTTGGTTTTCTACTGAGGGACACAGACACTTTCTGTCTCATTTGTTAAAATTTATACATTTTGATTAAGAATCTTTTCTACAGTTCTCGATTATTCCTTCATGCATATATTCAAGTGTGACCTTATCAAGTGATTGACAAGCACAAATTGGAGGAAAATCCATAAAGGTGAAGTCATTAAACTGATCATTTATACAAGGGCAATCAAGTATATAATTTATTTCAGAAATTAAGGGGCTATATTTTACTTTTATATTTATGCCCTGACCAGTGAGAGATTTTACAATAATTGTTTATTGTTCTCTAAAACCTTAGAAAGTTACCCATTTTACTTGTAGATGAATTAAGGTGTACTTGAAATTTAAGCAAAAAGTAGTTACCCTTGGTCTCAGAATGCCAAAAGCTAGCATTGGGTTATTCCAGCCTGTGACTAAGGCTACCTTCCCCAAAGACACAAGAATTAAGGCCACTAATCCTGACGTCGTATATTCGTGCCTGTAATCCCAATACTTGGGAGGATGCGGTATGAGGGTGAGAGTTCAAGGCCAGCTGGGGGTATACAGTAAGACCCTATTGCAAACAAACAAGTAATTGGAGCCACCAATCTAACTTTGAAATGGTCACATAAAAAACTGACTGCATGGTGGCATACACCTGTAATCCAGTACTTGGGATGTTAATGTAGGAGCATCACAGAAAGTTCAAGACCACTCTGGTCTGTGTAGTAAGTTTCAGACCAACCAACATGACGGGAAGTGACTGATAGTCCAGGTTTTTGCTGCTGAATGATGGTGCTCTGGGGGGGGGGGGGTTCAATGCAATTTTTTCATTTGTGTGTACGTGATGCGTGAGTGTTCACGTGTTCAGTGTGGTGGTGATGCGTGTGGAGGCCTGAGGTCAACATCAGGTGCCTTTTTCAATTATTCTCTACCTTAATTTTTGAGACAGGGTCTCTCACTGAACCTGTAGCTCACCAGTTCAGCTAGACTAGCTTGTTCAACAAGCGCCAGGGAACCTCTTGTCGCTCTCTCTGCCTTCTTCATACATGCTCCTCTGTGCCCAGATTTTTATGTGGGTCCTGGGGATCTGGTCCTCAGCTTACATACAAAATACTAACTGAGCCATTTCTATAACATTTATTAGCATGTACCCATTGTAAGTTGAGGAGCCTCTCTTAATCTCAGCAAGTAAGGAATCTGAAATTCCAAGTGCAGTCTTTCTGTTTTAAAGCCTATTTTAAAGATTATTTATACTGTATCTCGTTTTAAAATTGTACATTAAAAAGAAAATACCCTTAAATTTCACTGTACTGTTACACAGAAGAGGGATTACAGTTAATCCTTGTGTCATATAAATCAAAATACCTAAAGTAAGGATTATCAGTACTCCTATTACAAAGAAATGATAAATGTTTAAGATGATTAATAACCGGAGTTGAATATTGTACAACGTATGTACCAAGATATCATATTTTACCTCATAAATATGTACAATTATTAGATTAATTTTTAATTTGAGAAAAGAAAAAACTTGTATTTGCTTTATGTTACATATAAATAAGACAGACATAAACATTGCCTATAATTCTACCACCTAGGGAGAGTTATTCCATCAAAATGTAGGACCGATTTGCCCTCCTTACCTCTTCTATCCCAAAGGAAGCAAAACTTAAAGAAACCTCACCATACATAGTAGGTTGCCCATGCTTCAGCGAATGGCCCAAGCACAGACGAGCAGCACTAATTGGGTGGTTATTTAAAAGAGGAGGAGGAAAGAAGAGGAGGAGGGGTCATGAAGTAAGGGGGTTCTGGAAGGAGTTGGGGGGGGAACATGGGTGTTAGATGGGATCTAAATACTTCATATACATAAATTAGCAAATAAATAAAATTAATTAAAAATTTTAACATGAGAATTGACAACTATTCAGTGTTCAAACATTTATTGATCTTCATGTCTTCCAAACACTATGCCAGCTGTTAAAAAGTTATACAGATGAATGCTGGGTCCGCCTTTAAGGAACTCTGAAGGTGCTGGGCATGAGTGTGATGGTAGATGCCTATAATCTCAGCACATGGGAGGATGAGACCGGAGAATCAAGTGTTCCAGGCTAATTTGATCTACAGAGTGAGTTTGAGTCCCAGTCCAGTCTGGGCTACATAGCAGGACCCTGTCTCAAAAGAAAACAAAAACACCTCAGTGGTTCTGAACCCTGGTGTATATTGAAATCTCCTGGGAGGTTTAGAAAAATTGCCGTAACTTGGCATTCAGCTTCTTTGGCTGTTTGGGAGATATGCAGTCATGGTTATGAACCAGTGTTAGGAGTCAAGTGATACTGGCACAAAGCTCTCAAGAGAGATTGTGATACAAATACCATCCGCTTCAGCAATGTCCTGCTGATTAAAAATTCAAGGCTAAATTTTGCCTTGATGAATAGGAAGGATTCTATTAGTAATAAATAATGGTGTGGAGATAGGAAAGGATATTCCAGATAGTTGTCTGAACTGTTGTGGCCAGTGTTTCTTTAGTTGATAAGGATGAGGTATTAGAAATGTTGGTACACTGTTTGGTAAGGGTAAATTGTTATGGCCAGCCAGGTCCGTTGATCATTAATGAGCTTTCATTTCCTTTTTACTAGGTCTTCAATGAAATTTATCCAGTATGGACTTACTCTTACCTGGTGCTGCTGTTTCCTGTGTTCCTTGCCACAGACTACCTCCGTTACAAGCCCGTTGTTCTGCTGCAAGGACTCAGCCTTATTGTTACGTGGTTTATGCTGCTCTATGCCCAGGGACTGCTGGCCATTCAGTTCTTGGAATTCTTCTATGGCATCGCCACAGCCACTGAAATTGCCTATTACTCTTACATCTACAGTGTGGTCGACCTAAGCATGTACCAGAAAGTCACAAGTTACTGTCGAAGTGCCACCTTGGTGGGCTTCACAGTGGGCTCCGTCCTAGGGCAAATCCTTTTCTCGGTGGCAGATTGGTCACTGTTCAGTCTGAATGTCATCTCTCTCACCTGTGTTTCTGTGGCTTTTGCTGTGGCCTGGTTTCTGCCAATGCCACAGAAGAGCCTCTTCTTTCACCATGTTCCTGCCTCCTGCCAGGGAGTGAATGGCATCAAGGTACAAAATGGTGGCACTGTTACTGACACCCCAGCTTCTAACATGCCTGCATGGGAGGACATTGAGTCCAAAATCCCTCTAAATTTAGATGAGCCTCCCGTAGAAGAACCAGTAAGTTGAGCCTTAAATTGTTTATAGTTGCTTTTGGGGGTTGACTAATGGCAGTAAACAGGCAGGTGAGCCCCTTTTGTTAGATCTTTGGTTCATGTGGATTTGGGTCTTATTTTGAGTTGTTTCATTGGTTCATTCATTTATTAAAATGTAATTGATTTATGTAAGGGATACTAAATTTATTCTCCCCTAGCTGCCTGATCTCCAAAGTCAGGCAAGTCAGTCTAGCATAAGATTTTGTATCATGTCAGAGATGTCTTTCAGCTTTGTCTCCATTTTTCTGTCCCCACTGCTTGGCATGGAAAGAAACCACTCAGAAAACTTAAAGAATAATGGAAACTGCTCCCATTAATGCTTCATATCCACTTCTAGCTTCTGAATTGAAGTACAAAGTATTTAATGAGACAAATTTATTTTCCTTTTCTGTGCTAGAAGTGATATTTATTTTTCAAATGATGCTTTACTATATATAGTAGGGTAGTAATGAATACCATAGAGGAAGAGAATGACAGAAAAATGTAAGGTGTGATTGTAAAGGTGTCTCTTAGGAGAGGTGTAGCATTCAAAATAATTTATTCTACATAACCAGAAAGATGAAATGCCTTCCCACGTTTTGTTTTTATAATATATAAGTGGTTTTTGTGGGAAGGGGTGGTGGTGGTGGTGTGTGTGTGTGTGTGTGTGTGTGTGTGTGTGTGTGTTGTTGTTTTTCCTGTCAAGTTATAAACTATGAGGGGCATGATTGATTCCAACCAGATTGAAGTAGTCTTAATGTTCCTGGAGCATGTTTGGAAATAAGCCTATTAACATTCCTGCTTTGCATGTGGGTTCTAAAGCCAAATTGCACAAGTTCTGTGTGCTGAAGGAGAATAAAGAACTACCATGAATCTCTAACTGAAGTTAACCCAGTGGTTTCAACCCAGCCTCTAATGGCCCATTGAAAACTACTCCCTTGCCTACCTGCACCCTTCACCCAAGGTAACTAGTTGAAGTTTAGATTTTTGTTCAAGGAACCTGAGCCACTCTCTTCCTCTACAGTCTGGGAACCACTTTTCCTGGAACTCCCTTTTGACTATACAGGGTATTGTTTTTAGTCAAAATGACCAGGGTTTAAGTATTAAAGATGTGTTGATTCTGTCATAATTTGATAGGTGACCTGGAGAGTCCACAGAAGGATGCTGGCAGAGGGAAGTCTAATCATTTGCTAGATCTCATGTAGTAGGAAAAATGTGGGGCACCTTTTTGTTGGTTTCAAATGTGTTGCAGTGGCTTTAGCTATACATAATTCATCTCATGCTTACATAAGTATATATTTAAATAGTTATAAACATTTTTGTAAACCAGTACATTTTGAGGTTTTTAGAATGTGAATAAGAAATATGCTAGGAAGGGGCATTTTTTCATAACAACCAGTACATTCAAATGGATATATAAAATGTATAATAGAAGTGAAAGCTTTACAGCACAATACTTTATCTTGATATAGTCCATTTTATTTACTTTATTATAATTCATATTACTGTCTACTAAATATTTTTTATTGCCCACTGATGAGTTGTGGCTTACAGTTTCAATAACTTTTATACCAATGTGAAACTTATTATTTATAGCTAACCAAAATGTCAGTGTTTTAGCTGGGTGTGGTAGTACACACCTTAATCACAGCCCTTAAGAGGCTAGATCAGGAAGATTGCCAATTCCAGGTCAGCCTGGGTTAGGTTGCAAGACCATGTCTCAAATCAAAATTTTTAGTTAGAAGTAATCCTTACCACAGGTCATAGAACAGTCAGAGCATCTTAAAGTTAGAAGGGACCCTATCTCATCTATCCTCTCATTATAGAGATGATTGTGGCCCAGGATTAGATGTTGTAGATAAAAGCACAAATAACACTCCTACACATAATTTAAAATCATACATGAGAACTCCTCACTGTACTACATAAAAACTTTTACCACAGTGACAACATTGTCGGACTCTCAAGTTGGCTACAGCGTGGGCAATTTAAGCTTCTTTTAGTTTTGTAACTATCCTAGGCTCTGCAGCTGATACCTTGGCAGGTGGGCAGTGTTTTGGCAGCTGTAACTGACTGGTCTTAAAATATTGCTGGTTTTCTATGGAAAGCTTAAAGGGAGGTCAGGAGACGTATATTGGGGATCACAGATCCACTTTGAGTTAACAAAATGTGTTACCAAACTAAATAATAGTTGTGGAAATTATCAGAGAATAGGTAGATAAGTGGATGACTTTATGTTGATTTTCCAGAAAGGGGATATTAAGTAGAAGGAGTCAAAGTGGTAGTCTAGTTGCCTTAGAATCACCTTAGCATACTATGAGATCTTTATAGATAGAGCCTGTGGCTGACATTGAAGGAAGAGTCACCAAAGCCAGTGATTTTCTTTAACAGTCTGAGTTGCACTCCTATACTTGACTTGTAGCTGGATCTGATCTATTTTGAGTTCTTCATTTATTAAAAAGTATTCAGTGGGTTGGTGCTAGGGTTATAGCACAGTGTAAACCACTTGCCTAATATGTGTGGAGCCCTAGGTTTAACCCTTAGCACTGAAAAAAAAAAATCAGCTAGGTATGTTGGCACTTATCTGTTATCCCATTAGT